TTCTTCTAACGCCATTTCTTCAAAATAGGCTCGCCTAGGCCATGGTATTTTGTGGAAGAGCCACACTCAAGAGGCCAAAGAGCCGCATGTGGCTCGCGAGCCGCAGTTTGCTGACCATGGCTCTACCCTTGAGGTTCCTCCAGCTGGCTTAATCATCAAATCGATGTGAGACCGTTTAGCAAAAGAAAATAACCAAATTTAATACACACATAAGAATGGCCCTAGCCAGTTTGCTCAGTGGATAGAGTATTGGCCTGAGAACTGAAGGGTCCTGGGTTTGATTCTGATTAAGGGCATGTTTCTCAGCTGCAGGCTGGATCCCCGGCCCCGGTTAGAGTGTGTGCTTGAGGCAACCAATCAATGTGTCTCTCTCACATCCACATCCCCCCCTTCCTTCCACTTGTAGAGGGCCTCCTGAGAAGGCACATGGACATCCTTTAAATTAGGGGTGTCGAACTCAATCAGAGAAGGGGCCAAAATCTAAAATCCAGCCTAAATCGCGGGCCGAATGGTTTACTGAACAGTCATAAACTGTCATTGTGATGGAAACGCAGCGGAGTGCAGTGATGACAGCGCGGTGCGGGCCACATTGCAAGGCCTGGCGGGACGGATTTGGCCCGCGGGCCTTGTGTTTGACACATGTGCTTTAAATTGTCAGCTGAGCCCGAGGGCCGTGTGTGTTATTCAGTTTCTGACTTACCTTTGTCCAGGTGTCAGCATGGGTGGGTCTAGATATGTAAATCCAGTAATGCTAGGGCCTAGTTAAGAATGCAAATAAGTTTCTTTGACCCTATAAAATAAACCTGCTGCGTGGCTGAGCTGCTCGCTGCCTTTCCATCAGAGAAGATGGCGCCCACCTAGCGCCCAGCTTGATGAAGCTATTTCTTCCTCTTGTCTCTTTCTTTCTTTTATTTCTTAATCCCCAGCTCCTCTGTTCAGGAAGCTGTCCTTCTTCCTTTCCGTGCGGGACGTGGGAAAAGGAGAAGCGCCCACCGCACCACTCTCTAGAAATCAATGGGAAAATATCCTCTGGTGAGGATTAACAAACAAACAAAAAAAGAATAGGAACCCCGCATTCATAAGAGAATCAGAGACCCCACATGCAGGGCAGGTTCAGTCATAGGAAGGAAAGGTGAATACATGACATCCTGAACTAGGGATGAGGTAAGGAGCCTTGGGGGCTTCAGAAGGTCATCGCAGGAGGATGAGAAGAGCAGGCTTTTGGTAAATAGTTTGCCTGCCCTATAGATCAGTAAAAGGAATTTACCTCTGATAATCTCTTATGGGCAAGGCCCACAATTCAAATTCTTCTAGGCCAGTGGTCAGCAAATTGCAGCTCGGCAATTAAGAAGTTTCTCTTGCCCTACCTAACTGGTTTGGCTCAGTGGATAGAGTATCAGCCTTCGGACTGAAGGGTCCTGGGTTTGATTCCAGTTAAGGGCACATGCCTGGGTTGTGGGCTTGATCCCCAGTGGGGGGCATGCAGGAAGCAGCCAATCAGTGATTCTCGTTATTGATGTTTCTATCTCTCTCTCCCTCTCCTTTCCTCTCTGAAACCAATAAAAATATATTTTAAAGAAGAAGAAGAAGAAGAAGAAGAAGAAGAAGAAGAAGAAGAAGAAGAAGGAAAAGAAGAAGAAGAAGAAGAAGAAGAAGAAGAAGAAGAAGAAGAAGAAGAAGAAGGAAAAGAAGAAGAAGAAGAAGAAGAAGAAGAAGAAGAAGAAGAAGAAGAAGAAGAAGGAAGAAGAAGTAGTTATTTCTCTTAAGCCTGTGGCTAAGTTGCCCTTAGCTCAAAACAATAGGCATACCACAGAGGGACATCTTGGGGTGATTCCTCTTGGACCCCCATAATCACAAAGTCAGAAGATAGCTCAAATTATCAAATAATAAGTCTGCTTTGTTGCATTTAGGTCAGTTTTGATAAAAGCAATTAAAATTTTATTTCAGTTAAAAGATAGCTATACACCAACACCAAACAACAGAATCCCAGGTATCTTTTTCACGGCTTATTTGGGACTATAGGAATGTAAGGCCATTTTTGAACTGTAAAAATGTAAATTCAGAAACACACACACAACATTTGAGCTTCAGTATAAAGCATGTGTTAGAGCCCTGGCCAGCTTGGCTCAGCGGATAGAGCGTCGGCCTGTGGACTGAAGGGTCCTGGGTTTGATTCCGATCAAGGGCATGTACCTTGGTTTCAGGCACATCCTAAATGGGGAGTGTGTAGGAGGCAGCTGAATCAATGTTTCTCTCTCATTGATGTTTCTAACTCTCTATTCCTCTCCCTCTCCATTCCTCTCTGTAAAAAAAAAATCAATAAAGCAAATACATATATATTTAAAAGCATGTGTTAGGAAGGCAGGATTGAAGAGGGAGAGTGGATACAGGAATTCAGGCAAGCTCTCACAAGGAGGAAATAAGACAATGGCACGGGGTAGGGGGAGTGGTGGGAGAAGGGGAGATTGACAGTGAATCAATGAAAAACCTAGAAGGAAGGGGGAAGGATATCTAGAAATCTTTAGTTCCAAGTTTTAGATAAGATGTCTTCACATTATTAAATTCATCTTTAGTGATGAGCACCAAAACTTTTATTGGAAATACTCTTTTGTTGAAAGGTTAGACCTGTCTCCTTTCTCTGGTTTCTTGAGCAATAACTCTGTGTTCCTGCCATTTACTGGCTTAGAACACAAGCTGGTTAAAAACAATTCTTAGGCAGATTGATCTTGAATATGTATTACGGTTTATTGCTTGCAAGAGAATCCTATATAATAAAAGCCTAATATGCAAATTGTCCCCTCGACCAGGAGTTCTGTGGGGAGTTTGACTGCTTGCTATGACGTGTGCTGACCGCCAGGGGCAGTGCAGACCATAGCAGGCACTGGCGACTGGGCACTTACTGCTGGCAACAGTGGAGGCACTGCTGGCTCCTATGGGCCCGATGAGAGGTGGAGCAGGTGGGTGGGTGGCACCAGGCCAATGTGGGTGCGAGCCACTGGTTGCCACTCACCCAGGGGCTGATTGACCTGCAGATCTGATCGCAGGGTGACCAAAAGCGGCAGTGGCAAGGGTGGGGCCACTGCCTGGCTCCCTCAGCACCTGGGAGCTGGCAGGGGCAGGGGAGGGGGGGCAGGAGGCAGGGAGGGAGTACCCAGCAGGTAGCGGCAGCTGCTAGGGATCCTACCAGCGCATGAATTTCATGCCCTGGGCCTCTAGTTGGTGAATATATGGAAATGAGGGTTTATAGATGAGAAAACAAAGATTTACATCAGCAGCAATTTTTTTAAAGAAGCAGCTACTAAATTAATGAACAGTCATAAACAGTTTTACTCACAGTCATGAAACACCATACTGGTAATTACAGAGGAAATGGAGAGCAGAATGCCCTGAGATACTGCGTGTGTAGCCTATCCCTAGTATGCCATCCAAGAAGCAGAGGATCAGGATGCACCTGGGACTGGCAGTAGGCATAGTAGTTCCATTCTGTTCACAGGGGAAGCAGAGAACCCATCTAGAGGCAGAAGCAGAGAACCCAAACGACAGGTGGTTGCCACTTCATTTCTGAAACCACCAAGTAAGAAACAGAAACATGGTTTGCCTCGTTCTTGGTTTGGGACAATTTTTCCCCCCTTTGGCAGGCACGAAGCAAGTTTTACTTATTATCAGGTGAGATGGTGAGTTAATTTTGGAATGTGCTGAATTCAGGGGCCAGTGGGTTACCTGAGCCCAGCTGGGAAATGGACATCCAGAACCTGACTGATTAACATTGCACACGGATTTAGATCGTGCGTTCATTAACATTACCTTTATGGTAAGGTGAGCAGACGTCCGGCTTTTGGCGGGACAGTCCCGATTTTTAACAATTTGTCCAGTGTCCCATTCCGCGGCATTTTAAAAAAGTCCCGATTTTCGGAAAGAATGCCCTACAAGCTAGGGAACAGCGGGAGAAAGGGAAGGGAATATACGGTTTTTGGCGGCCATGTGGCTATTTAGCCAGGATATGAGGTTTATATTATTTTTGCTAATTTTATAATTTAAACTTTAATAACAACAAATAATTGTTGAGAACTGATTATCAAGAACTGCTTTTCAAAGTTCGCATTGTTGATCAGTTGTTAGAGTTCGACCACCATTGTTTGGGCTTAATGAACAATGGCATGTTTTGGGGATTGACATCGACAAAAACATTTTGTAACTGTCTCTCAGACCATACACATCGTACTGCGTGCTAGTAAGCTAGTTAAACAAGTGATGTCATTACAAATCAGCTATTCAGATAATTTAGGTAAGTAATTTATTTATTTCATAAGTACATAAATTTTCTTGAATTTAGCAGATAGTACTTGTATTATTTATATTTTATAATATAATGGCGGCAAAAAGTCTAGCGCCTGCCTTGAAAGTGACACTTATGACTATACATAATTTTTATTTATTTATTATATTTGTAAATTGTACTTATGTTGAAATTTAAAAAGTATGTTTTACAATATGATTTTTGAGTTCTATGAAAATTTTTGGTGCTCCATATAGACCAAATTTTTCATCAAGAACCCGCTCCACCACCCCCCTCACTGTCCCGCTTTACCAATGCTAAGATCTGGTCACCTTACATTATGGTTTCATCACAGTTCAATGTACCGTATTTTCCGGCATATAAGACGACCCCCTAATTTTACAATTAACACCAGTTCTTTTTTTAATAGACCGCCTCTCTGACTCTGGCCAATCTGAGCAGGCTTTTTTTCGGTTCAAACGTCGTCTGATACGCCGGAAAACACGCAAGCATCATCAAGGGCGCATGCTCTATTTTGCAAGCCACTCTGTGCGGCGCCTAGAATGGGCACAGAGCATCCTAAATGGCTCAGAACGAATACTTCAGAAATCAGAACCTGGCGTTCCCTTCCTCCCAGCGCGAGGTCAGGGCGCCCTCCGGGTTCGCGCCTCCGGCCCCTTTAAGAAAGCGCGGGGGCCGGTGAGCGGAAGCGCTGCTGGGGAGGAGGGCGGGGCCATCGCCGGGGTCACCGGCGCCGCCGCCGCCCGGGTCAGCGCCGCCGCTGCCGGGGTCACTGCCGCCGCCGCCGCCGCCGCCGCCGGGGTCAGCGTCACCGCGAGGCCCGCGCGCCGCCGGGGAAAAGTGCGGGAGAAGACGAGCCGGGCCCCCTGCTGGGTCCCGGGGCGGGTCCGCAGAGCCGGTGCGGCGGGAGGGAAGGTGCTGTCCTCGGGGGACACACGTGGTCACAGACACTGGGAACCCTCCCGGTGAGCGCGCCGTCCCCCGGTCCGTCTGCACCCCGCTGGAAGCGGTCCACTGAGCACGATCCTAACGGCGGTGCTGGGGGCGACGGGCAGGGTCCGAGCCCACACCGCCTCCCGTGCTCGCTCCGAGCCCGGGCTGGAGCCGGTCAGGGCGAACACGGTCCTTCCCGACAGCAGGAGTCCAGTGGGGCCTCGGGGCGCAACGCCGTCCCAGGTATCCTCAGTGCTAACCCCCCCTCGGGAGGGTACCCCAGTTCACAGGCTGGAGCCCCGAGAGGTATTTTGTCCTGCCGAGTGGTCTGTAACCTAATTCACCAGGGGGGGAGCCTGTGCATCCATATCGGGGTTATTGTGGGAAACGAGAAGACCCGGCAGGGCTCGCTGCCCGGGAGCTCTTGGCTGCCCTCTGTGGGCCCGTACGGGGCAGCCACCGCCCCTCGGCCCCAGTCCCTCCGTGACCCCACGCTCCGCCTGCACCCCTCGCTCAGCGCCAGCCAGGCCCCTGGGAGGCATTTGAGCTGCAGCCCTGATCTAAATACTTAAGTCGGTGACCTTTTTCATCTCCTGGCACATAGAAGCTAATTGCAAAAAGTTTTAGGCACAACAAAAAGTGTATATTTTGCCAATCTGACCAAAAAAGGTATAATTTTTTTTAAATATATTTTTTGTTTTTACAGAGGAAGGGAGAGGGATAGACAGAAACATCTATCAGCTGCCTCCCACACCGCCCCCCACCGGGGATGCACCCACAACCAAGGCACATGCCCCTAACTGGGACCCCTCGGTCCGCAGGCCGACAGCCCATCCACCGAGCCAAACCGGTTTCGACAAAATAGGTATCATTTTGATTCATTCACACCAGACTGCTATTTTTGTGTTGGCTGTTGTCATTTTTAAAATTTGACACTAAGGAACAGAGGTCAGGTATTGCATGCTTAAACAATTCTTGAGGTTCACCAGTTGAAAATCTCTGACTTGGGTGAATATAAGACCATTTAAAAAAATTTTTTTTGCTGAACAGAGCAGAGGTCCCAAACAGCCACGTGTATAATTCGTGTTTAAAACTGCTCTTTCTGTCGTGGGAAGAAGTTGGTGATTCGCCGGGCCCTGGTCCCCAAAGACGAGGTCCGGTGACCCTTGGCCCCTTCCTGCCTCCCCTCCGCGTGCCTTTCCCCTCTCTCTTCTGCCAGGATGAGTGGCGCAGGTGTACCTTCCGGCAGCTATGGAGCTCTGGCTGTGCTCATAGTGGATACAGTGCCCGTGGAGAAGAAAATAAACACACTGAAAGTCTGAGACTCACAGTAACGGCTGTAAGAGATCTTACCATTAACAGCTGTAACAGCTGTAAGAGATAGGCCAGGAAGTGAAAACACAAAATAAATTAGCCGAAATGGATTCACAATTTGACTCTACAACTGGATTCCTAGGTAGAACTATGGAAAATCTGAAGATTTTATCCAGAGGGAGCAAAACAAAGCTGGTGTGCTATATGGTGCTGATTTTATTGTCTTTTTTGTCATTTATTGGATTATTAAACTGAGGTGATACAAGTGAGTGTGAGTTTGTAATTTGTTCCAACGTACGCGTGGCTTGGGATACCATTTTGGTAAAAATTCAGGATCAATATATTCCTCATTTTCAAATATGGCTTTTTCCATTGACAGGGAATTTTAAATGTTTTATAAGTCACATTACATAATACAGTGCTCTTTACTGTTTCTTAATGACTCATTTTGCCCCTATTTTTCAGGGGTATTGAGATAGCCAAAAGTTAGTCCAGCCCTAACCTTTTCATTTTCCTATTGTTTGTTATCAGATTAAATAGCAGTGTAGTGTTCTGTTGTCATAAATGTGGGTTTCTGTTCCATGTAAAGAAAGTTAATGGGCCAAAACTGGTTTGGCTCAGTGGATAGAGCGTTAGCCTGTGAACTGAAAGGTGCCAGGTTCGATTCCGGTCAAGGGCAAGTACCGTGGTTGCGGGCACATCCCCAGTAGGAGGTGTGCAGGAGGCAGCTGATTGATGTTTCTCTCTCATGATTTTTTTTTTAACTCTCTATCCCTCTCCCTTCCTCTCTGTAAAAAATCAATTAAAATATATATATATACATATATTTAAAGTTAATGGGAGAGCCTGATGCTGAGCTCTTGCAGTGAACAAGTTTGTGGTGGAATGGTAAATGTATTTTCATGAATGACATCAACCCTAACCATGTACTCCCCTTTCCTTCTTGATTTGGTTAAATTGTAGGCTTATTTCTTTTTACCTATGGTGTTTTTCTAATAATTTTTTATTATATGACTCCTCTTCCCCCTTTGCCCAAGGATCTCATTCTTTCTTAAATCTTAGTGTTTTGGCACATTTCTAGTAGGTGCAAAACAAATGTGAACCAGTATAATTATTTTATATTAACTTTATACATACCATTGACTTGGCTTAAAATAGCTTTATGATTTTAGCTACTTAGGCCATTTGGTTATCATTTGTGACAGAATAATGTGAAGCTAAAGTAATTGTTAAGCTCTGACTGGAAATAACATGTTTAAGAAAATTGTCTCTGCATTATTATGTGCTCAAAATATATAATTGAAAGTACTTAGCATTGAACTTAGGGGTAAGAGTATTGTTTTTTTAATCTAGTATATTTATAGGAAGCAAAACAAAGGTAGAGTGTTGAGTAGAAAGAAATATTAAAATTTTCTGTATTGCTATTTTGGAATTTACTCATGAGCTCAAAAAATAATTTTTTTTTAAATGAAATAAGTTGAAAAAAATAGAACTGCCCTTTCTCATTCCTACTTTTTCTTTTCAAGGTGGTTTTCTTTGGAACAAGTCTTTTCAACCCAGGCTTGGTAACAATGAATCATCACATATGTATACAAATTTGGGAGTTGATGTTCTTTTATTATAATGAAATCCTTAATGTTTTTATTTTTGTGTTGTTTTTTAAGGAAAAAGACCTGAATCTGTTTACATAGATGTTTTATGCTATGACAATCATTACTGAAGTAGAGTGTGGTCAGTATAATTTGTACACCTCTGCCTATAGAAAATTATGCTTCATTAGCCTCCATAACTCTTGGCTGGACTTCATAAAGGCAAGACTGTGTTTGCCTGTTCATTAGGCTTATCCCACCTAGAATGTAAGCTACTTAGACTTTTATTTTGTTCAGAGTTGCCAAGCACAGTGCCTGCTTAAAGGTGACTAAATGTATGAAAGAACTTCATTATTTTAAAAATATATATTTTTTATTGATTTCGGAGCTGAAGGAAGAGAGAGAGACATCAATGATGAGAATCATTGATTGACTGCCTTCTGCATACTCTCCCTACTGGGGATTAAGCCTGTATCCCAGGCATGTGCCCTTGACCTGAATTGAACCAAGGACTTCAGTCCACAGGCTGATACTCGGATATATCCATTAAGCCAAAGCAGCTAGGGTTTTTTTGTTTGTTTTTTAAATTATACTGTATTTATTTTTAAATCCTCACTCAAGGATATTTTTCCATTGATTTTTAGAGAGAGTGGAAGAAAGAGGGAAGGACAGAGAAATTTTGATGTGAGAAACACATGGATTGGTTGTCTCTTGCATGAGCCCAAACCAGGGCATAGGCCAGGGAGGAGTCTGCAACCAAGGTACATGCCCTTGACCGGAATAGAACCCAGGACCCTTTGGTCCACAGTCCAGTGCTCTGTCCACTGAGCTAAACTGGCTAGGTTATATATGAAAGAACTTTAAGGTATAGCTTATTTTATGTAACAGGCATTGTTCCTGAAGATTTCTCTCAAAATGAAATGCTTGTACAAAGGATTCCATTGTAAAAAGGCATGCTTTTAAAAGATTGAATTTTCCTAAATTAATGTACCAGTGCTTTCATCTAAAATGAGCTTGTACTGCCCAGTGGGTTAGAGTGTTGCCCCATATGCCAAGGCTGCAGGTTCCAGCCCTGGTCAGAGCATGTAAGAATCAACCAACAAATGCATAAATAAGTGGAACAAATCATTGTTTCTTTCTTGCTCTCTCTCCCTTCCTCTTTCTCTAAAAATCAATACATTGAAAAGATAAAATAAAGTCAACTTGTACTTGTGGATCATCTGCTACAGAGCTTACAGAGCCTACACTGGTAATATTTTCTTACTATGTGATAGGATATGAAAATGTCGGTGAGCCTTGGAATTTTCAGTATTATTTCTGTTTTTAGAAATCTAGAGATTCCAGTTGGCATCAAGTTGGCAGCCAGATCCTATACTTTGCCCCTGAGGAGCAGCTCTCATAAGCGGCGGTGAGGAACCTGTGGTTCGGAGGACTGATGGCTGTGAGCCCAGCTGGGAGGACGTTGGCACTGAACCACGGCGGTGTCTTTCGGAAGGCCGTGAGAAGCAGCGGTCTTTCCTTGTGTCCCTGGGGCCGCTGTGCCTGGAGAGGGAATGGGAGCTTTCTGGACCCTGAGGTGAAGGCCTTCTTGGAGGAGAACACTGAAGTCACCAGCAGTGGCAGTCTCACCCCTGAAATCCGGTTGCGGCTTTTAACCCCCAGATGCAAGTTTTGGTGGGAAAGAGCTGACCTGTGGCCCCACAGCGATCCTTACTGGGCCATCTACTGGCCAGGAGGCCAAGCCCTGTCTAGGTAGTGACCCAACTGAAACGGGAACCTTTAAGTTTGCAACAGTCCTTTCTCTTTTCAGCCATTTCAACTCTGAATTTACCCCGCTCTCCCCCTCCCCCCTCCTCCCTTCCTACCACACACACAGAAAAACCCACATTCTCTTAATTTCTAGCAGCTTAAGCTGTTTTTTTTTTTTTTTTTTTTGGTTGCTTTGTTACATCGTTTTACTCTCTACTCCAAGCTTATCAAGGTATTTCCCCAAATACAGTTCTTTTCCCAAGAGAAGTCCTTGGGTCAGCCATCAAGACCAGAGGTAGCTATAAATATCCAGACCTTACACTGTTCTCAGGCTCATGGTTCATGATGTATGGCCAGTGCAGGGGTCCCAGACTTTTGAACGTAAGGCCCCAGTTCAGCTCTCCCAGACTAGCCTGTCAGTGTTGCTCCTGAGGCCTCACACCCTCCATCACTGCCTCTTCACAGTGTCCTCAGGAAGATACCTGAGTGAATGGGCTGCTCAAGGACTCCTCCTTCGCTGGGGGTTTATTGACATCTCAGGTGAACTCACGACCCGAATCTACATTGTAAGGCCCCTCCTTCCACCTCTCACACTGCAGAGCTCCTTAGGACATTTGCTCACATTCACACTACGCTTTTTATTAAAACACAGCCGCTGAAACAGACTAGAACTTCCAGCTTTCCATCCAGCCTTTGCTCTTGGGTTGGTAAATGTTTTCATCTGTTTATATCTCGAGGTTACAGAGCTGGAAAACAAAAAGGGTAAGGACTTCTCTTTCACATGAATGGTATGGCCGAACAGAGTTAATGCTATATGTAGTCTTGAATGAAAAGCAAAATGCAAACATAGAGCTTTGGGGAGAAGACTGAGGATGGAAAGCTTTCCAGGTAGTATCAAACGATTTCCATTTTCTGATGGTTGTGTTGCCAAATTCCCAAGATTTACTGCTCACATCATATTTGAAAAGTACTGGCATTCCAAGTGACTGTCTTCTATTAAAGCTATTGTTTATCAACTCCAAATGTACAGTCAAATCCTTAAGAGACTGTGTGAATCAAGAGAATGCAAACTGGTGACCCACAGATGTATTTTGTTTCAGTTTTATTTATTGTGATAAGAAGGGAGTGGCTGCCTGGGCATTTCACATAACCCTTACACTGAATCTGGACATGTTTATAAGGATCTGAGTTTAGGATGTCTGCTATAAGTTCCCAACTTGCTTTTCCCAGGTGACCTTTTAGAATAACCACTTAAGTGTTAAGTCTTCGAAAAGTTAGTGACCTCTGCCCAATTCACCTGTGTGTCACCCTCTCTACCTCCAGCTTGTGACCTGGAACAGAAGACTGCCCTCCCCTCAGCTCATTGTACCTCCTTGCTTCTGGGATCTGGAAGTAGGCAATCTTGTGATTCTATTTCCTTTGTGGGTGTATTGAAACCACCTTCAATCAAAATGACCCATGTTTTCACCTTCCCAAAGTGGAAGCTGCCACACAGAGGGAGCTAGCCACCTGCTGCTCTGATGTGGATGGCCTGGGTCTCTTCCTTCACCGGCCCATACTCTGCATGTTTTTAATTCAATACACCAGCTCTGGCTTCTCAACACACTTCTTTTTAAAAATAGGTTGCTAACATTTAAAACCTGAGAGATTTCATTGAAAATATGCATTGGTTTGAAAAACAGGAATCATCTCTGAGAACATGGGATTTCTGTGTGGCAACAATTACCTGAAGATGGGTAGCAGCTGTCCCTTTAAGACATGACATGCACACCTCTACTTTGCCATAGTCGCTGCTCTTCTTCATTATTCTCATGCTAAGATCAAGTGTCCACTGAAATTCATTATTTCAGTGTTTCCCACTCATCTTCAGTAGTTTGGTAACCACTTAGCCCTGGTCCAAATTCTTTGGTTGAACTGGACTTGGATGGTCATTATAAGACAATTCAAACTGTAGGTAAAACCACGCTGATGAATAATCAAAAGGAGATGGTGGGTTTTGGCTCTAATGTACTGAGTCCTGATTATAGTAATATTTTGTCAGTCTGGATTCTTAGTTCTGGATCACAGTAAGTGTTCAAAGCTTTTCAACAGCTGACTTGAAGCACCTGATTAGTAACTGTGGTACTGTTCTTCACACACGCTGAAGAGTAATCAAATGACTAGGTCCTCTCTCTGCCACCTTTGCCAGTTCTTAAGATGGACATTTTGTCTCACTCTGGTCAGGCCAAACTTGCCAAGATCAGACCAAATGCTTCTGCTAGGTTCTATTATTTCTTTGTTCATTGAACCCAAGGAGATTTTCTTTTTGAACAGCTCTACTGAATTTCTCCCATGCTTTCCCCATTTTTTTTCTAACTTAGGTATCTTTTGGATAATCCTGATGTTGTCAGAGGAAAATCTGTGTTAGATCTTGGGAGTGGATGTGGAGCTACGGCTATCGCTGCTAAGATGAGTGGGGCATCAAGGATCTTGGCCAACGACATAGACCCTAGTAAGGATTTCCTATTTAAAAGTCTGTAAAGCTCATCCTGTTTTTTTCCCCTTCCAGGATAAATATCTCTGACGCCTCAATATGATAGCCTATACTACACAGATAAGTTTTAATTTTATCTGATTTTCTTCTAGTCTTCCTTTTCACTGAGGATTTCATCCTTGAAGATCCTTATTTTATACAGGGGGCTCAGTTTTAACTTGCCATCTTGCTCAAGCCCAAGGCTTGTTTCCCTCTCTCCTGTAACAAACCAGACTTCGTGTTATTGAGATCAACAAATGTTCCTTAAACTCCAACATTTCCAGGTGTATTTTTGTTTGTTTTGCATTCAGGATATCCATTTATATATTTGAAAATCACAATAAATAGCTTACATTGGCATAAACCTTAGGCTTTCTTACCTAAAAACATCTTTCAACAAAAAAAGGAAACCTGGCCGGTATAGCTCGTAGGTTGGAGTTTCATCCTGTGTACTGAAGGGTGGCCTATGTGATTCCCAGTCAGGGCACATACCCAGGTTGCAGCTTTTTTTTTTTTTTTTTTTTTTTAATATAGTTTAATGATTTTCCACAGAGAGGAAGGGAAAGGGATAGAGAGCTAGAAACGTCGATGAGAGAGAAACATCGACCAGATGCCTCCTGCACACCCCCCACCGGGGACATGCCCGCAACCAATGCATATGCCCTTGACCGGAATCAAACCCGGAACCCCTCAGTCCGCAGGCTGACGCTCCATCCACTGAGCCAAACCGGTTTCAGCCCAGGTTGCAGCTTTGATCCCTGGTCAGGGTGCATGCAGGAAGCAACTGATAGTTCTTCCTTTTTGTTCTCATGCTCTCCCTTGGCCTCGCACTCGTGACTTTCCTAAGCTCACCTCTAGAGGATTCTTCTCTCTGTCTCCTCTCTACTCCTCTCCCTCTCTCTCTCGCTCTCTTTCTCGCTCTCCTCTCTCCTCTCCTCTCTCTCTCTCTCTCTCTCTCTCTCTCTCTCTCTCTCTCTCTCCCTCTCCCTCTCCCTCTCCCTCTCCCTCTCCCTCTCCCTCTCCCTCCCACCCCCCCTTCCTCTCTAAATCAGTTAAAACACACACAACTTTGCCCTGGCCAGTGTGGCTCAGTTGGTTGGGTCAGCCTGTGTACCAAAAGGTTGCCAGTTTGATTCTTGGTCAGGGCACATGCCCGGGTTGCAGGCTCAACCAACTGGTGCAGGAGGCAGCCAATCGATGTTTCACTCTCACATCAGTGTTTCTCTTTTTCTTTTCTTCTCTTTCTATAAAAATATTGTATATTTTAAAATAATTTTTTAAAGGGAGAAAACATTAAGAGATACTATAAATTAATCAATAGGGAATTCAAACAGTCTAGTATATTACCAATTCATCATGTTCTTTTCTAAAGTTGCAGGAATGGCTATCACACTGAATTGTGAATTGAACCAACTGAAACCTTTTCCCATTTTAACCAAAAATATTTTGGATTTGGAACAAGATAAGTGGGACCTTGTTGTGCTTGGAGATATGTTTTATGATGAAGACCTTGCAGATAGTCTTCATCAATGGCTGAAGGATTGCTTTTGGACTCACAAAACTCAAGTACTGATTGGTGACCCTGGCAGGCCTCAGTTCAGAGGACACAGCATTCAGCATCAGCTGCACAAAGTGGTAGAATATTCTCTTCCAGAACCTACTAGGCAGGAAAACAATGGACTGACAACAAGCGCAGTGTGGGATTTCCAGCCTTGAACTGTCAAATGCTTCCAAGTATGGATAGACCTATGTTTGGGTTCAACCCTAGAAGAGTCTCCAGTTTGAAGAATGCAGTTCCTGTGAAATGACAAATCTTGTTTTCAAAATATGAAGATTTAGACTTTTGTCATGTATCTAGTTCTTTATTATGCCAAATATATACATCTTTATCTGTAATTTTTTTTCTAATTTTACTACTATCTACATAATAAAAACCCAGAGGTCATAATGCCTTAACTATCAAAGAGCAGTCACCAGGAGGTGCATTGATGGGTACCATGGTGCTGGCGGGACTTGATGCTGGGTCCTACGGTGCACTGGGTCTAGGTCTCATGTGACTTTGCACGCTGGGCCTCTAGTAGGATTATAATTATAGAAGGCAGTGCCCAGTGGTAGTAAATTGTGGAGAGAATTAGATATCGTAGCTGAGTTGGTTTCTGTAGTTGAGAACAACTATGTGATGTGTTGAATTAAACAAAAATATAAAATACAGAAGACTATAGTATTTAGTGCATAATAGGGTATTAATGGACAACTAAGGATAAAAATAAAGATTTTAGAATTTCCAATATAGTCTGTACAGACACCATATGACTTTTTATGGTTTACTAAGGTTAGTTAGAAATTGATTTTGCCACCACTACACATCCCAGGTTTTTATAATATTCTATTTTAAAAAGAATATTATATATTAAAAAAAACAAAAAACACTATGATATAAGAGCGGAACAATGTGAAGGAGAATGTATATAGAATACCACTATGTACCCCTAACTGGTTTGGCTCAGTGGATAGAGCATCAGCCTGTGGACTGAAGGGTGCCAGGTTTGATTCTGGTCAAGGGCATGTTCCTTGGTTGCAGGCATATCCCCAGTACTAGGTGTGCAGGAGGCAGCTGATCGATGTTTCTTTCTCATCAATGTTTTTAACTCTCGATCCCTCTCCCTTCTTCTCTGTAAAAAAACAATAAAAAATAAATTTTTAAAAAGAATACCACTATGCAAAAAAGATGTATGTATATATTGAGAAAAAGAATGAAGATAGGATCTTGCCAGTTTTGCTCAGTGGTTAGAGCACTGGTCCTGGGTTCAATCTTATTCAAAGGCAACCAATCGATGCAATGCTTTTCTCTCTATGTCTCTTCCTGTCCCTTCCACTCTCTCTTAAAAAAAAAAAAAAAAAAAAAAAAAAAAATCAGCCGAAACTGGTTTGGCTCAGTGGATAGAGCATCAGCCTGCTGACTGAAGGGTCCCAGGTTCAATTCCGGTCAAGGGCATGCACCTTGGTTGCAAGCACATCCCTGGTAGGGTATGTTCAGGAGGCAACTGGTCGATGTTTCTCATCAATGTTTCTAGCTCTCTCTCTCTCTCTTCCTCTCTCTCTCTCTTCCTCTCTCTCTCTCTTCCTCTCTCTCTCTCTCTTCCTCTCTGTGAAAAATCAATAAAATATATATGTATTTTTTAAATCAATGGAAAAATATCCAATAAATAAAATAAAATTTGGGGGGAGAATTTTTAAGTGATAAAAAAAAGAAAACAATGAAGAAAGGGAAAATACAAAATGGAGTCGCTTTAAAGTATGAAGGTGAGGCATAAGGAAACAATTATTTTTCTTGTCTTAACTAGCCTAGGAACATAAACTTTTTAATTTTCCCATCCTCTATCAATGCCTGGGCATTTACTTACCTTTGGATAACCCCCTAAGGACGCAGGATATGGTCAGACCTCCTGGTGCCCATCCTCCAGACACCCTGGCATCCAGCATCCAGACCCCTGACATCTGGCTAATAACCATCCTGGACCAAACCTAGAGCTAAAAACACAGGGCTCTATTCTCAGGAATGTGACTTTTACTATAAGAACTCTTAACTTTTTTTCTTCAGAATATAATTCGGGGTCTGCCTAGCTGTGTTTCCAGTGTGCAAACTCTAGGACCCTTGAATAAATATCTGTCTTTTTTTTTTTTTTTTTTTCTCTAGCAAAGCCTCCAGACTCTTTTTGAGTTTGTTTGACAATACTTACATATGTATGTATGTGTATAAAATACATTTGCTTGCAGTATATATTTAGGTTATCCCTGGAAAGATAAATAAGAAACTGGTAAAAATGGTTGCCTTCTGAGAGGGTACGAGATAGCTGGTAGACTAGGGTGGGAAGAAGACCTAGTTTTTACTTTTGGGTCTTCTAGTTTTGTACTAATTATATGTACTGTATTTCATATTCTCTAATTAAAAACTGTGGTAAACACAACTACTGTATATGTCACATGTCAAGTATAAAATATAGCCTGGTTCTTTTTTATGTTTCTAGCTCAATTTTTATGTTTCCTATCTCTTTGTTGAAGTTATAAGTTCATCTATTCTTCCCCTCCGTTCACTGAGCATCCTTATAACCAGTATCTTGAACTCTGTATCTAGTAGATTGCTTGTCTCCATCTTGTCTGGTTATTTTGTCCAATGGGCATTTAAATACTTCAGGAAGGCAGAAGCCAGAAAATAGCTAGAAAGGTAGTTATACTTTTAGAAATACCTTTACTTAAAATCTATCCCACATTGGTACATTTTTTTTACAACAGCTCAAATATTTAGGTAGGAAAAGGAAATCTCCAGGGAAAACAGGTAATTTAAAATCTTTGTTATTTAAGAAACAAACACACTGCTCTTTCCCCCTACCCCCAAATCTATCAGAGGGGCATGCTAGGATTAAAATTCTAAGACAATGACTTATAACAAACACAGAATAATAGCACTATTAAAGCCATTAGGGTCTGTTAATTCACAAACCATATAATATGTTGGAAAGCCATTCTCCAAGACCATCCTTTCCTGACAGTATGAAGAGTATATCTTGGATAAGCATCAATAAGCAGTCCATGTTACTTGCTTTAATTTGTTTGGGCCTACTAATTGCTCCAAGACTTCTCGTGAATGATCTACAAAAGAAAACATTGACAATACATTAATTCACAGTAATCAGAGATATTTCATGTGTCTTTATGTAAAAACTGAAGATGATGATAATTATTGTATCTTATAATGAAGCATCCATCTTATATAAAAACTGTTTGAAATTTTAACCCTGCATGGACGCAAAACTCTGGGGGGTGAGAGCATGTATGGGAGTGGGAGGGGGGCAATGGTAAGATATGTACACATATAATACCTTAATTTTTAAAAAATGAAAAAGAAATTTTAACCCTGCTATTTTGGCTTCTATAAATACTTGCTTGCTTAAATAATAAGGAATATAAGATTACTCCCATTCCAGAGAGGCCGTGGACTATGCCCCAGACAGAGTTGTCAGTGCTGACACCAGGCCAGGCTCTGAGATATGGTCTCATGGTCCCTTCCCAGTATGTAGGCCTTCTTTCCCAGAAGGCCCGGGAGTCTCATTCCAAATTTGGGAGACAAAAGAGCTAGGAAAAGTATAAATAAGAAAGGTTTCCTCCATGTAAGGGGGCCCAGATTTTGAAAGACACATTTTTCTCTGGCCCTGCACTTAATAAAATGTAACCCTCTTTCTCTAAGTGTGGCTTGGTTTTTTTCAGGTCTTCTGTAAAGGATTAAATAAGATGATATATAAGGATAATCTACAATTAACAATACATTTAATTAATAGTAACCCTCACAATTATTAGCTGCAGTGCACATATCATAGAAATACTTTTAAAAATCAGGCATATATTGTTTTCTCTTGTAATTTCATCAACCAAAGAATAATTGTGTAATTTTACCATTAACCTGTGTATAGTCTTTCTTAATCTCTTGGCAGGAAATAGATGCTGCACTAAAACGGGGTGTTTGAACAGGGTTTAATGAAGCAACTATTTACAAAGGAGTGAACAAGATTAAAGAAAGCCAACAGGTGAAAGGTTAGGGACGGAACAGTCACTAGAACAGGATAACTTGACATTTATTATATAGGAAATTTAGATTAAAGATAGGTTTCTAATTGGTTGACAGTAAAAGGATGGACAGATATATCATGCACACAACTATAATAAAGATAGAGTGGCTATACTAATAGAAGAGGAAATATTACTTCCCATCTCATTCTATGAGGCCAGTATTACCTTGACACCAAAGGCAGACAAAGATATCACTCACACACACACAACCCTTTTATAAATGTGTACTCAAAAGTCCTCAACAAAATACGAACAAACCAAATCTAACAACATATAAAAAAGATTATATGCCATCATTTATTGACACTGATCTCAGCTATACAAGACTGATTTGATATCTGAAAATTAATTCATATAATACATTGCATTAATTTCCTATTGCTATTATAATAAGTTACCTCAACCTTAATGGCTTAAAACACCACACATTTATTATTGCAGTTTTAGAGATCAGAATTCCAAAATGGGTCTCACTGGGCTAAGATCAGGTTTTGGCAGGTCAGCATTTCTTTTTGGAGGCTCTAGGGACAAACCCACCTCCTTGACTTTTCTGCTTGCAGAGGCCACCACATTCCTTGCCTTCTCCCATATTTAAAGTGAACAGCATCGGACAGCTCTCATCTCGATGATTCCCTATTTTTGCCTCCCTCCTGTACTTGTAATGACTTATGATTATATTGGGCCCAACTGGATAGTAAGGGATAATTTCTCTATTTTAAGGTCAACTGATAAACAATTTAAAAAAATATATTTTTATTGACTTTTAGAGAGGAAGGGAGAAAGAGAGAAGGGAGAGAGAGAAGGAAGGAGATCAATAATGAGAGAGAATTATTGATCAGCTGTCTCCTGTACATCCCACACTGGGAATCGAGCCTGCAACTGAGGCATATGTCTTGACTGACAATTGAACCATTATCTCCTGGTTCATAGGTCAATGCTCAACCACTGAGCCATACCAGCCGGGCCTGATAAACAACTTTTATTTATTTATTTATTTATTTATTTATTTATTTAAAAAAATATTTTTATTGATTTTTTACAGAGAGGAAAGGAGAGAGATAGAGAGTTAGAAACATCGATGAGAGAGACATCGATCAGCCGCCTCTTGCACACCCTCCACTGGGGATGTGCCCGCAACCAAGGTACATGCTCCTGACCGGAATCGAACCCGGGACCTTTCAGTCTACAAGCCGACGCTCTATCCACTGAGCCAAACCGGTTTTGGCCTAATAAATAACTTTTAAATTCCATTTTAATATAATATACATATAGGTTCTGGGCATGGATATCTCTGGGTAGTGGCATTATTCTACCTATGACATATATCATATCTATAGAATAGGGACAAAACTCACATAATCATCTCAATAGACACAGAAAAAGCATTTGAAAAATCCAATACTCATGATAAAACCATTCAACAATCTAGGAATAGAAGGGAACTTCCTCAACGTAATAAAGGGCCCTTATGGAAAACCCACAGCTAATATCATATTTTATGGTGAAACACTCAATGTCTTTCCCCTGAAAAGAGGAACAAGATAAGAATGTCTGCCCTTGCTGCTTCTATTCAACATTGGACTG